TAAACACTTCTCCAAAGAGGATTAAAGTTGGCCAATAGACGTATGAAAAGATGCTCAGTGTCGCTAATCATCAGGGAAATGCACATTAAAACCTCAGTGAGATACCATCTCACACCTGTCAGAATGGCTATCATCAATATATAAACAAACAACAAGTACTGGCCAGGATGTAGAGAAAGGGGAACACTTTTGTACTGTTGGTGGGAATGCAGATTGATGCAGTCACTTGGAAAGTAGTATGGAGATACCTCAAAAAATTAAAAATGGATCTGCCTTTTCACCTAGTAATACCACTTCTGAGAGTGTATCCAAAGGAACCCAAAATACTAATTCAAAAGAAATAAGCAACCCTATGTTCATTTCAGTATTATCTACAATCACCAGGATATGGAAGCAGCTCAAGTGTCCATCAGTAGATGAGTAAATAAAACAACTATGGGACATTTACACAATGGAATACTATTTGGCCATAAAAAAATAAAATTTTACCCTTTGCTATAGTATGGATGGACCTCGAGAACATTATGCTAAAGTGAAATAAGCCAGTCAGAGAAAGACAAATACCATATGATTTCACTTATATGTGGAATCTAATGAACAAGCTGAAGTAACAAGCAAAATAAAGACAAACTCATAGATGGAGAGCAGGATGACAGCTAAGGGAGCGGGGAGGTTAGGGAGTGGAGGAATTGAGAAAAAAAGAAAAAGGACTCCTGGACATGGACAACAATATGGTGATTATTGGGGATGGGGTGTTTAAGGGGACTAAATGTTAATGGAAAAATACGATAAAGATCAAATAAATTAATTAATAATTAAAATTTCAATTGTTTGTTGCTAGAACATGGCAGTACATTTTCTGTATCTCGCAACCTTGATAAACTCATTAGTTTCAGTAGCTCTTTTTTGTACATTTCTTAAGATTTGTACCTAGACAATCATGTCAACTGTGAATAAAGACTTAGTTCTTTCTTGCCAATTTCAGTGTCTCCTTCTTCCCTTCCTTGCCTGATTTCACTGGCCAGAACCTTCAGTGCAATGTTGTAAAGAAGTAGTGAGAGGAGACATCCTTGCCTTGTTTTCTCATCTTAGAGGCAAAGGAGATGGTCTTTATTGTTAAGTATGTTAGCTGTAGGGTTTTTTTTTAATTTATTGAGTTATTTTTCAAGTACAGTTTTCTTTTGTCAATTTCTCCCATCCCAAACCCCCCCCCCCCAGCTGTAGGTTTTTTATAGATGCCTTTTATAAGGAAGACGTTCTCTCCCTTATCTCTAGTTTGCCAAGAGTTTTTATCATGAATGATTGTTGGATTTTTGTATTTTCCTTCATCTATTAAGATGATTGTAACTGAATTTCTTTTTAATTCTGCTAACATGGTAAATTACATTGATTGATTTCCAAAAGTTAAGCCAACTCTGTCTTTCTGGGATAAACTCCATATGTCATTTATTATCCTGTATCTATGTTCGTGAGAGACACTGTTTGTTATTTTTTAAATTCTTATAAGCCTCAAGTGTTTTTTGTATCTGGTAATACCTTATAGAAATTGTTGCACTGTGGCCCTGACCAGGTGGCTCAGTTGGTTGGAGTGGCCTCCCTCCAACCAACTTTTTATTGTCTTTTTAAAAAAATGTTGACACTATTACAAAAGCTCCCATTTTTCTCCCCTTCACCTGCCTGTTTTTCATTTTCCTCTTTTTCTCAGGCTTCCCTTGGATTGTGATTGTTTTTTATAATTCTACTGTATCTCCATTATTAGCTTATTAGGCTTCCATCTTTGTTGTTATTGTTGATTTTATGGTTACTTTAGGGTTTGTAGTATACATATTTATTATGGTTTACATTTAACCAATATTATACCAGTTCATATGTAGCATAAGACACTTCTAATAGTATATTTCTGTTTCACCTCTCTCAACCTTTGTAATATTGTTACCATACATTTTACTTCTGCTGTTATAAATTAATAAATGCTACAATATATAATTGTTTCTGCTTTAAATAACATATTGCCTTTAAATATTTTGAACTTTAGTAATTGTATCATGTGTTCACATTAGTTATTTTTTAACTATCTACTTCTAATGTCAGAAAAATAGTAATATTTTTTTGAAATGAAGATTCTCAATAAGAGAGAAAGGAAGCACAATTCTTGAATCAAGAATTTAAGTAGGACAGGAACTAGTACACATGGACAACAACTAAGGGGGATGGAAAGGGGAGGAAGGTGGGGGGCACGGAGGGGTGGGCTGGGATGGGAGTAAAAGACTGAAAACTGTAGTTGAAAAATAATTTCAAAAATAAATTAATTTAAAAAAGAATTTAAGTAGGACTTGATTGGCAATATCAACATTAACTTATTCTTTTTTATAATATATTTTATTGATTATGCCATTACAGTTGTCCCATTTCTCCCCCTTTATTACCCTCCCACCCACATCCCCCCCTTTAGTTCATGTCCATGTGTCTTAAGTTCTTTAGCTTCTACATTTCCCACACTCCTCTTGCCTTCCCTATTTTCTCCCCACCATCTATGCTACTTATTCTCTGTACCTTCTCCCCCCTTCTCCTCCTCCCACTCCCCTGTTGCTAACCCTCCATGTGATCTCCATTTCTATGGTTCTGCTCCTGTACTAGCTGTCCTCTTAGTTTGCTTTTGTTTTAGATGTGGTTGTTACTAACTGTGAGTTTGCTGTCCTTTCACTGTTCATCTTTTTTATCTTCTTTTTCTTAGGTAAGTCCCTTTAACATTTCATATAATAAGGGCTTGGTGATGATGAATTCCTTGAACTTGACCTGATCTGAGAAGCACTTTTTCTGCCCTTCCATTCTAAATGAAAGCTTTGCTGGATAGAGCACTCTTGGTTGTAGGTCTTTGGATTTCCTGACTTGGAATACTTCTTTCCAGCCCCTTCTTGCCTGTAAAGTCTCTTTTGAGAAATCAGCTGACTATCCGATGGGAAGTCCTTTGTAGGTGACTGTCCCCTTATCTATTGCTGCTTCTAGGATTCTCTCCTTCATTTTAATCTTGGCTAATGTAATGATGATGTGCCTTGGTGTGTTCCTTCTTGGGGACTCTCTGAGCTTCCTGGATTTCCTGGAAGTCTATTTCCTTTGCCAGATTGGGGAAGTTCTCCTTAATTATTTGTTCAAATAAATTTTCCACTCATGGCTATTCTTCTTCCCCTTCTGGTACCCCTATAATTCGGATGTTGGAATGTTAAAGATGTCCTGGAGGTTCCTAAGCCTCTCCTCATCTTTCTGAATTCTTGTTTCTTCATCCTTTTCTGTTTGGTCCTTTTTTCCTTCCTTCTGGTCCACTCCTTTGATTTGAGTCCCAGTTTTGTTTCCATCACTATTGGTTCCCTGTACATTTTCCTTCATTTCACTTAGTGAGCCTTCATTTTTTCATCTAATTTGTGACCAAAATTAACCAGTTCTCTGAGCATTCTGATCACCAGTGTTTTGAACTGTGCACCTGATACACTGGCTTTCTCTTGGTCACTTAAAAGTATTGGTTTTGGGGGTTTGATTTGGTCTTCTATTTCAGCCATAACTTTTTGGTCAGGTTGTGCCTGTTATGTATGAGGGGCGGAGCCTTAGGTGTTCACCAGTTGCTGGGTTGTGATGCTGTATGTGGGGGCGGGGTCAGAGAGGGAACAATGGTGCTTGCTCTGCTCTCAGGTTTCAGTCCCCTCTGCCACTTCCCACAAGCAAACTGGGCCTTTCTGATGCTAATTCCCATGTGGGTGGGCTTGTGTAAGTTCTAGGACCCTCTGGGTCTCTCCAATGAATTCTTCTGAGACGGAGTCTCTCCCGAAACCTCAACCCCCACAGGTGTTTTCAACTGTGTTTTGAGGCTTTATTTCCTGGCACTGGGGCCCTGGGTTGCACAGTCTGTCTTGCTGTTTGTTTTTGCCTGGTTTATCTGCTCACGAATGTGTGACCATAGTCAGCCAACCACCTTGTGTGCCTCACTGGGTTTGCTCATTTCCTCCCCTCACCCAGGTCTGCCAACACAGCCTTTTCCTGACGCAACCCCTCTCCACTGGCCGCTGGCTCCACCCCTCTTTAACGGTCTGGATGAATGGTTGTTGGACTTCTGTACAGTTCAATTTTCTGTCTGTTCTGGTTGTGTTTTTGTTTCTAAATCTTTCTTGTCCTTAATTTTGGTTGTGCAAGGAGGCACAGTGTTTCTACCTATGCTTCCATCTTGGCCAGAAGTCAACATTAACCTATTCTTTACATGTAAATTTTGTATCTATGTTTTTTAAAGTTGTGGTAAAAACATTTAACAAAATTTATCATCTTATTTTTAAGTATACAGTTTAGTAGATATTAATTACCTTTTTAAAGATTTAAATTATAAGGAGAAAACTTTTTAATATTTACTTATATTACCATTTTGGGTATTCTTCATTTTTGTAAGGATCCAGATTTTTATTTAGAATTCTTTTCTTCCTGCTTCTCTGCATGTCTGGTAATTGATTACATATGGTAGACATTGTATATTTTATGTGATTTTAGGTACTGATGTTTTTTGTAGTCCTTTAAGTATTTTGGGGTTTTGTTCTGGTATACAGTCAAGTAAACTTGAGTATGTTTTTGACATTTGCTTTTAACATTTGTTAGATAGATCCAGAATGACTTTTAGTAAAATCCACACAGTCAGTATCTTAGGGCAGAAAGAAGGGTTGAGTGGGTCTGAATGGCCAAATTAGACGTATAAGAGTAAATACTTATTTCCATATCTGATGTCCCAATGGAATGTGATTTCTTTGATGTCCAAGACAGTGTGTCTTTTCACATTTACTTCCTGAAGCTGGACTGTGTCTGGCACACATACTAGGCATTTATTAAATGTTTGCTTTCTATGTGTTTTTAAAAATATAACTGTAACCTTACATTTTCTTTTAAAAATAGCATATAGCTATAGTAGTAATATAATTTTTTAAACTTAGAATATTATATACTTCTTTAGTAAGTTTTCATCAACTTACATTTGCCTCATCCATTCTATTTTTCTAATTTTTCTTTTCTTTTCCATATCTTGTCGTCTCTTCAGTTTAGAGAAATGAAATGTGCATTCCTTTTTGTCTCCCACCATTACATCTTCAGTGGACATCCAAAACTATTGAGAAATAAAGAAATGAATATATAAAATGTCGAAATACTGATTATGAAGTTATCTGACTAGAGACAGAACTTCCATGTGCTCAGTAGGAATATGCCAAAATAGAAAAAGGTTAAGATAGACCTTTTCAAGATATTTCTAATTTCAGTGATGGGTGAACAGCACATTGAGACTTTGGAGGCACATGCTCAGAAAGACTGACAAAGTCTAGTGTACTGAGATGCTTAATAAGCGTTGGAACAAATGAATGAATGAATGAGTAAAATGAAGAGACATATTCCAAGAGTGTTTCCAGTTTCTCATAAGAACAGACCTGACCTACTCTTAGCATTGGTGCCTTTTGAAGACTGTAATCCTCAAGAAGTATAGGCACCCTCCAAGAACACGTAAGTCTCTACTATGTCCTGAGTTTGTGGTTTCCCATGTATGACACTTTATCCTAAGTGGTTGTCTATTTTCCTACTTCTAATTCATTCCCCTGCCCCCACCACACACACCTTAACTCACAAGGAGGAGAGTTTGCTATTCCCCACAACACTGTATTTTTCACTATTAAAGCACATACTTACTACATTATACTGAAATATCCTGTTTACTAAATGCCTTCCTAACTACAAGGCAAACTACTTGAGGAAAGCAATTATTCTTATTTACTATTGTATACCTAGCATTTGGTATAATGACTGACTCATGGCTAGTATGAAATAAAGTTTGCTGAATGAATGAATGCATTCCTTGATCATTTTCACTTTTCATACTTAGTATATTCAACATATATCACATTCTACAAACTGTCTATCAGCGATTGAGGATTTGATGAAGATACGTGAGGATACTTGTATAAACAGACATCTATAGAACCAGATCATGTTAACCTATAAAATGTAAGTTTACAAATATCCTTAGGTAAAAATTATCTCCACAAAAAGGAGATTAAACATGGGTGTCTATAGGAAAGTTCCTGAATCACATATATGCATTAGGAACTATTTATATTTTAAATCATTCTGTTCAATTAATATGAATACATGGTAAATTCCCCAACAGCATAAAAATTCAAATGGTTTTCCATCAGTCTCTGCTATTACAAGCTGTGCAAGAGAAAAAGTCACATTGTTCTCAAGAACTCCCACCTCTAGTCCAAGGATTAATATAGAGTCAACAACATCTTCAAATTTGCTTTTATGTAAAGATGGTAAACTGCTGAGTGCCAGTGAGTATCTAAAATGGCTTCAATCAAAGCTAATTACTAAAAGTAGAAATAAATGTAAGTGGAAAAAAAAGATATATTCCTGTACTGTTTTTTCTTTTTTTCCTTTATCTTCACATGAGGATATACTAATTGATTTTAGAGAGGAAACAGGAGGGAGAAAGAGGGAGAAAAACATCAAAGTGAGTGAGAAACAAGGATGGGTTGCCTCTCATATGTGCCCCTGCTGCACAGACATCAAACCTGCAACCCAGGAACGTGACCCAACCAGGAATCGAAACCACTACCCCCTGATCTGTGGGATGACATTCCGACCAACTGAGCTACCAGGCCAGAGCTATTCTTGTGTTTTGAAGTATTATTAGAAACCCCAGAGTAGTTAACTTAGGCAATTTTTATCAACTAAATTACTAGAATTTACTATTTTACAAAATGACTTTAAAATTAATTTTCAAAAAGACAAATTGGTTTATAAACATGTAAGACTCAAAATTGTTAATATTTTTTCTTACTCTATCAGAAACAGGTCTCCAGCCATTGTTCTCTATACGATGATACCATCCACTGTGATCCTCTTCCTGAACATCATCACTTTTAATATGAGATGCATATTTTGCTGAAAGTTTTGTGTAATCTCTAGGGCTATTGGCACACAGATCTTCAATATGTCTCTCAGTAAAAATTTTATAGTATATTTCAGGTGGAAATTTAACCTGTAGATGGAAAAGTTCAAAGGACCATTGTATCCCAATTAAAAAATAATTTACGTTTTGAAAATTACATCTTACAAATGTTATATAAATAAGCTTTAAAATTACAACTAATAATTCACCCATACTTACACCACCTAATCTGAACCGTACATGAACGCCAGCAGCAGCATCTAGAAGCTCTGCCTATAAAAAAAATTACTTTTCAGCATTCTGTATATACCAATTAACTAATTCTCACTCTATTATGTTAAAATAATTGCCAAATATTGATTATTTATGAAACAGATCAAGTGACTAAACTTCAAATAATTATTTTTAAATTAGAAAATGTTGTGTTCGTCCCACGGGGGGGGCGGCCGGGCGCGGATTCCTTTTTCCCTCCCTCCCTCCCTTTTCTTTTTTAAAAAATTTTTAAGATTTAATTTCTTATAGACATCTAATAAGTAAAACAACTTACATAAGTGGCAAAATAATATAAAATTATGTTTCCTTTCTATATAAGTGTAAAAGTCAAATGATTTGTTATTCATAAAATAAAAGTTTTAAATAAGTGCTCGAATATATGGTTTATGTATTAAATATTATCTTACACATAAATTCAGAAGAAAAAAACTTATATTGGTCAATGAGAGTTTTATACCAGATGACCTATCCTAACTGCCTTTTATTAAATTTTTTAAAATCCATGTTTTAATTTCTTTTATTTTTAACTTTTTCCTTTTAAAGATTTTATTTATTTTAATTTTAGAGAAGGGGAAGTGGGGAGGAAAAGAGGGAAATAAACATCAATGTGTGGTTGCCTCTCATGTGCCCCCTAGTGGGGACCTAGCCTGCAATGTAGGCATGTGCCCTGACTGAGAATTGAACCAGCAACCCCTCGGTTCTCAGGCCAATGCTCAATCCACTGAGCAACACCAGCCAGGGCTAAATTTCTTGAAAAAAAAAAAAAAAAAGATTGTATTTATTTATTTTTAGAGAAAGGGAAGAAGAAAGAGAGAGAGAAACATCAATGTGTGTTTGTCTCTCATGTGCCCCCTACTATGGACCTGGACCAGGCATATACCCTGACTGAGAATTCAACCAGGGACCCTTTGGTTCACAGGCTGACACTCAATCCACTGAGCCATGCCAGCCACAGCAAATTTCTTAAGAATTATATATAATTGATTTTCTAAATGTTAGTGCCCTGGATGAAATGGAAAATAGAAAAAAAAATTGGTACTGTATTAGAAGACAGTTCAACGTTCTCTCCTGACAATATTAAATTAGATGAGAAAATAGATGTTATGTTGTTTAGTCCATAAAGCCCTAAAAACAAGACTAGTTTTACATAATTTTCTCCTGAGTAAAAATTATACATACATATATAATATATAGTCATAATTCAAATATGAAAAAGATGTTTTATAACAAGATTTTAAAGTATATATTTATAAAATTCATAAACTATATACTTTCATACATGAATCTGTCTAGAAAAAGTCTAGCCATTGTCAATATAATGAGAACAGTTTGCACAACATCAATGTAACCTGGCAGCCAAGGAGAGTGGATTACAATGCACATGCATGAACAATGATGACTTCACTGTACTAGTCGGTGGGGGCAGTAGATGCTGTTGAGTGAGCATGTGTACCATGTGGCTGTTGCATTCAAATGGCTGAGTGAGTAGAGCAATGAATCTGTATCAAATTTTTCATTAAGCTTGAACATTCCTCTGCACAAACTATTTGGATGATTCAGAAGGCTTTGGGATGATGTAATGAGTGCAGCACAAAGAGAAGTATGGCACAAATGCTTCAAAGATGGTCAAGAATCCACTGAAAGTGACTCATATTCTGGAAATCCCACAACAAGCAGAACACCTGAGAACGTTGAATGTGTACAGGCTGCAATCAACAAATATCGGCAACTGACAGTGCGAGAACTAGAAGCTGATCTGAGGATTCCAAAAACACTGTGTCTAAGATTTTGAAGCAGGATCTTGGCATGAATCATATTGTGGCAAAATTCATTCTGCAACTTTTGCTACTAGAGCAGAAGAAATATTGTGCTGCAGTTGAAAAAACTGTGTGAGGTCCCAAAGTGCCTACTTTGAAGGGGACTAAGTTGTCATTGTCCTACATACAATGTTTCTTGCATCTTGTGTCTTCTCCAATAAATGTCTCTATTTTGCCAACTTCTAGCCAAGATGGAGGCGTAGGTAGATACACTGCACCTCCTCAAGCAACCAAAGAAAGACAACAAAATTAAAAAACAAAAAACTAGAAGTGCCAGAAAATCAAACTGTATGGAAGTCTGACAACCAAGGAGTTAAAGAAGAAACATTCATCCAGACCGGTAGGAGAGGTGGAGATGGGCAGCCAGGGTGGAGAGGACTCGCAGCAAGACAGTGGCTGCTGGACCAGGGGAAGCAGTGGCTGGAAGAGCAAGTGATCCCACATTTACATGCAGATAAACCAGGAGGAACAACTGGGGAGTGAGATAACCACACAACCCAGGGTTCCAGTTTAGGGAAATAAGCCTCAAAACCTGTTACTGAAAAAAACCTGTGGGGGTTGATGCATCAAGAGAAACTCCCAGCCTCACAGGAGAGAGTTTGCGGGAGAGACCCACAGGGCCCTAGAATGTACACAAACCTACCCACACCGGAATCAGCACCCAAAAGGTCCAATTTGCTTGTGAGTAGTGGAGGAAATGACTGAAAGCCCACTAAGAGCTGAGCAAGCCGCACTGTTCCCTCTCAGACCTCTTCCTCACATACAGTGCCACAGTGTAGCCATGTGGGTTGCCCTGCCCTGGTGAATAACTAAGGTGCTGTCCCTTGCTACATAACAGGCCCACCAAGACAAAAAAAAAAATGGCCCAAATAAAAGAACAGATCAAAGCTCCAGAAAAAATACAACTAAATGATGAAGAGATAGCTAAGCTATCATACAGAGAGTTCAAAACACTAGTAATCAGGATGCTCACAGAAATGGCTGAGTATGGTAGCAAAATAGAGGAAAAAGTGAAGACTATGAAAAGTGAAATAAGAGAAAATGTATAGGAAACCAACAATGATGGGAAGGAAACTGGGACTCAAATCTAAGATATGGAACAGAAGGAAGAAATAAACATTCAACCAGAACAGAATGAAGAAACAAGAATTCAGAAAAATGAGGAGAGGCTTAGGAACATCCAGGACAACTTTAAATGTTCCAACATCTGAATCATAGGGGTGCCAGAAGGAGAAAAGGAAGAGCAAGAAATTGAAAACTTATTTGAACAAATAATAAAGGAGAACTTCCCCAATCTGAAAAAGAAGCAGACTTTCAGGAAGTCCAGGAAGCTCAGAGAGTCCCAAAGAAGTTGGACCCAAGGAGGAACACACCAAGGCACATCATAATTACATTAGCCAAGATTAAAGATAAGGAGGGAATTCTAGAAGCAGCAAGAGAAAAGGAGACAGTTACTTATAAAGGAGCTCCCATAAGACTAATAGCTGATTTTTCAAAAGAAACCTCACAGACAAGAAGAGGCTGGAAAAGAAATACTCTAAGTCATGAAAGGCAAGGACCTACTTCTAATATTACTCTATACAGCAAAGCTATCATTTATAATGGAAGGGCAGAGAAAGTGCTTCCCTGATAAGGTCAAGTTAAAAGAGTTCATCACCACTAGGCCCTTATTACATGAAATGTTAAAGGGACTTATCTAAGAAAAAGAAGATCAAAACTATGAACAGTAAAATAACAATAACTCACTACTATCAACAACTGAACCTAAAAAACAAAAACAAACCAAGCAAACAACTGAAACAGGAACAGATTCACAGAAATAGAAATCACATGGAGGGTTAGCAGTGGAGAGGGATAAGGGGAAGAATGGGGGAAAACATACAGGGAATAAGAAGCATAAATGGTAGGTACAAAAGAGACAGGGGAAGGTTAAGAATAGTATAGGAAATGGAAAAGCCAAAGAACTTGTATGTATGACCCATGGACATGAACTAAGGTGGGGAATGATGGTGGGAAGGGGGGTACAGGGCAGAGGAGAAAGATTTCCCTTTGGGAGAAAAAAATGAGACAATTATAACAGCATAATCAATAAACTATATTAAAAGTAAAAAAATAAATAAATGTCTTTTTTCAGAGTGCATGTCTGGCTATTTCCTGGACAGTCCATACACATGTGTATATATTTATATATGTGTATATATATATGTATATATGTGTGTGTGTGTTTAAGTACCCCTTCCCACTAAAGTAGGAAAATCTTAAATGTATAGCTCCACAAAGTTTTACCCTTCCTATTTTAGTCAGTCAGTGTAAGGGGCTGATCACATCAAACCTATTCAGAGACTGAGCTTGGTAAAGTCTGAATTACAGCTTTAGTAATCTATATCCCATTTGTCCACTTCTAATTTTCCCTTGTTTCTTAGATGTGAGCTCCTCAACCATGATAGACTATGGGAAACTCAGTTATATTCTTTGGAAGATTTGAGATTAATTATTTACTCTTCCACCATCTACAGACTCAAACCAAGTTGGGGGTGGCTGTGTATTTGAGGTAGTTCCATTCCCTCTAGTATGACTTTGTCTCTTAAGTTTATGAGAGATTTCATTTACTATTATTTAAAGTGGACTTAAAGCACTGGCTGGTGTGGCTCAGTGGACTGAACATTGGCCTGTGGACCAAAGGATTGCTTGTTTGATTCCCAGTCACGTCACATGCCTGGGTTGCAGGCCCAGGTGGAATTAAACTAGAAATCAATAGCAGAAACAGAGATGGAAAGTCCCAAAACTTGGAAATTAAACAACACACTTGTAAATATCAAATGGGTCAAATAAGAAGTCTTGGGATTTTAAATTTTTAAATATTTTTAAGCAAATGAAGAGAAACTACAACTTATCAATTTTGTGAGAGGCAGCAAAAATAGTGCTTAGATGACAATTTATAGTGTTAAATGCATGCATTAGAAAACAATGAAGATTTGAAATCTGCAATCTAAGACTCCACCTTAAGAAACTAGAAAAAGAAAACAAATTAAGTCGAAAGCAGGGAGAAGAAATGATATGAAAAACAGAATAGAAATCAGTGAAATTGAAAACAGAAAATCAATAGAGAAAATCAAACAAACTAAAAGCTGGTTCTTTGAAAAGATCAGTAAAATCAATAAACTTCTGGCCAGACTAAGAATCTGCATGATGGTTATGCAAGGGTTTGCTTGTAATGAATCACTGAGTTATACATGTATGTATAATAAATTTTTATGTGTGCTTAATACTTCAATAAAAAGTTTTTAAAAGGAACAACTATGATCACACTGAGTTTATAAAGTAGCTACACGATTTTATGAAAGAAAAAAGGATGGTGTATCAATAAATAATGTTCTTGCCCTGGCTGGCATAGTTCAGTTGGTTGGGTGTCATCCTGCAAGTAAAAGGTCACTGGTTCCATTCCTGGTCAGGGCACAGGCCTAGGCTGTGGGCCAGGTCCCTGGTTGGAGCATGTGCAAGAGGCAATTGATTGATGTTTCTCTCATGTATTGATGTTTCTCTCCCTCTTTTTCTCCCTCTCTTCCTCTCTCTCTAAAAACAAATAAAATATAAAAGAAAATTTAAAAATAAATTAATAATGTTCTTACCTCTTTAGGATTAATATATCTTACTATCTGACGTGGTTCCCCTTGTCTTCTTATATTAATCAGACTTTTAAAGTGTTGGAATACCGTAATATTCTAAAGGTTCAAACACATAAAATTTTATGGTCAAAACTGGGCAAAATGAGTAAAAACCATAAAACAGACTTTATATATTTAAACTAGAATTTAGAATATTATCCACTCATGGTTTCCTTTGACAAGCCAAGCAATGTTGGTATTATTTTTCACAAAGAGTTTTACCCTTAAGTTTGTAAATTGTATCACTAGCAACTATGAATAGAATATCCAGAACTTTGGTTGGGTCACTTCTGTATACTCCAGAGTAATCTAGGAGAAAGACAAAATATAGTCAGGTAAAAACATTGACTATGGCATAATATTGTCTGGTTCAACTGTTAGTTCTTACTAGCTGTATTACCCTAGATAAGTTACTTAACCTATCTGCTCAGCTTCTTATCTAAAATATGGGGATGATAATAGCTATCTCATACAGCTATGGTGAAAAACGAATGTGTTAATATTTGTAAAGCACTTAGAACAACTTCTGGTATAAAAAAGCACTCAATTAATATTATCTATAATTATTAATACATAATCCTCTTCATTCCTGTAGGTAATTCCAGTAATTTACAAACCCTATCTGCTTTTCATGTTAGTGCAAATTTAGTCAACTCCTGAAAATTCTTCAGTCTTGGAAAGCTATTTTTTTGGTAACCCTCTCTTCATACCCTTTTTCATAAAAACATCCTTAATAACTCTTGGTAAACTCTCTCTCTCTTTTCAGCTTGCTTATCTTAAGTCAAATTCGCACCAATACCACAATTTGAAGATTAAATTTATTCTCTTTATATATTAGAACCATTTTAATTTGCATTATACATGAACCATGGCTTTCATGGTTAGCCCTTTTTCAAAATTTCTAACCACTTTTTAGTCCAGCTTCCCATACATGCCTTTTATTGCATGAGTCACCATTTTATCACCAGATATAGCTCCCTTACAGCCATTCACCATACTAATCTAACCTGAGTTAATAGCCACTTTTATGGTAATCCTTCAGGTTTGTTATTTTTCTTTCTGTTTCTTTTTTTTTTATATATCATTTTTCTTAAATGTCAGGTAATCCTTGGTTGTCCTTTAATACAGTCATGTGCCACATAACAACAGAAATACAGTTTGAAAAATGCATCATTAGGCAATTTCATCATTGTGCAAACATCATAGTGTGTACTTGCACAAACCTAGTGCAGAGTGCACTAATGCCCGGGCTATGTGGAAAACCACTCTCACATATGCAGTGTGTAATCAACAGGCTTTCTTATAGGGGATGGTCAGTTAACCAGCTATTAATCAGGATGACTCTCATATACTAAAATTAAGAGGGTTTTTACGTGGAGTGACAAGTCCATGCTAGAACTAGCTTTCCCACATAGTTCATTTAATTTTTTTAGAAATAAGCCTTCAGGGTTATTTTTCTCCCAGTGGCACATATCCATCCACCAAAAGATTTTTTTACTAATGTTAAATATCCAACTACCTGAAGCTTTGGATCTTAAAGTGGCAGGGAGACAAATCATACAAATAGCTGTTCCATGTATAGACCTTCAATCGGCCCCCTTGTCTCCACTCACTTTCTTCCAGGCCTTTTAAATTGCTAACTCCTAATTGATATTCATTCTAGGGTTCCAATGGCAAACCAGCTTTCTCACTGGAGCCCCTTTAAAGTGTATCTGGGCAAATCTTCTACACAGTTTTGTTTAACTGGATGCTACAATCTGTTTTGGTTTTCTGTAAAGGAGATAAAATTTCTTATTTGCTCACAAACACTCTTCTTTTATGTGTTAAGTTTCTGTATATTGTTATTTCAATGGGGTTTTGGAGGAACAAAAAGTGAAAATGTGTGCTCAGTCTACCATGTGGTTAAAATACAAACACACACACTTTTTTGTTTATATATATGCTTTCTCTACTGAAGCTCCTTAATGGCAAAGAAGTACTCTAAAGTGCTAGCTCTGTGCCAGGAAAATAAAGGCATGTGGCTCATTGGATTTGGATGTAAGAGAAGCTACAAATGACAGAAAAACTTAAGCCTAGATGACAAGTATGCCCATTGAAACCATCAAAAGAATAGTCGATTTTAAGGAAAAAAGTTATTTCAGTGTTGAAAATCAATAGTTACCCCCCAGAATAGGTTTTATGGCTTTGATAGAGGCAGTAGAGGCAAATAATGGAAGTTACTCTGCAAGACTTGATTAACTGATACGAAGGTATTCTTGTGTGCTACCACTTCACACAACATTATCAGTGGACAGAGAGCTGCTGCTACGAGAAAGAGAAGAGTGAACTCATTTTGCTCTTGGCTCTTACCTAACCAGCTAAATCTACTTGGAATATTCCTTACTGAATAAAAAGACAAGCTCTATATAGAGCATGATAAGAAACTACTATATTAACCCATATGTGGTATATTATTGAACTTTAAGTCCTCAAGAGTAGGTACTCAATTAATATTTAATGAGTAAATGTATTCCTAAGACCTGTTCACAAATCTGATTCCAGAGGCAAGAAATAACGTTTTTTTTCCTTTTTTTTTAATTTTTATTTTATTGACTATGCCATTACAGTTGTTCTATTTTCCCCCTTCATTCCATTCCACCCTGCATCCCCCATCCCTACCATTTCCCCCTTTAGTTTATGACCATGTGTCTCAAGTTCTTTAGATTCTATAAGAAATAAAGTTTTTAGTGGTGAAATCCACATGATCCAATTACTGATACTTTTTTTTAAAGGTTTTATTTACTTATTTTTAGAGAGAGGGGAAAGGAAGAAGAAAGAAAGAAAGAGACACATCAATGTGTGGTTGCCTCTCATGCACCCCCTACTGGGGACCTGGCCTACAACCCAGGCATGTGCCCTGACTGGGAATCAAACTGGCAACTCTTTGGTTCACAGGCTCTCACTCAATCCACTGAGCTACGTCAGCCAGGGCAATTACTGACATTTTCACTGATAGCAGCTATTATCAAAGTGCCTGGCCCAGATCAGGAACAACATAAAATATTTGTGAGACTAATGAACATACTAATAAATGTTAACTTTTTGAAATTTTTAAAAGTGCTTTTAAGGCAAAGTGTTGTATACAACTCTGTAAATATACTAGACACTACTGTAATATACACTGTAAAAAGGGCAACCATATTATATCTAAATTATATCTCAGTAAAGGTGCAAAAGGAAAAATCCTTACAAGGAATCTTTTCCAGGCCTTCTGAATGACTCTGGCAGCTTTATCCCTCTTTGTTAATTCCAATGCTTGTTTCCGAGACATTTAAAATCCTGAAAGAAAATAAGAAAAATGGATATATTTGAAATTATTTCATATACTCCATTATGAAACTGTTACTAGAACTCAGTGACAATTAAACAGAAAGTTGTATGAATGAAAAAAATGTATAAATGTCACATATTAAATTTACAGTAGCAATATGGTTTTGAGATGCTTCATCATAGTCCAAACTAAGTGAGTAAATATCACTTAAAATTTAAAAATTTTGAACTCTTACTTGGAAAATGCTAAATGTAAAAAGATTTACAAATCCCAAAGCCATGAAGTATTTAAACACATAACAAACCTCCACTAATACGTGCATGTTTAGAAAGACAGACACTAAACAGACACCACTATATACATATATATAATCTTTAATTTTTTTATCTTTTGATGCTAAAATTATTTGGAAGCTTGGAACTAGATATTTTCTTCCAACTAGATATTGCTGAGCTTTAAAACTGACATTTTTAAGAATAGAAAAAAAGGTCTTTCTGACCAAGATAGAGGTGTAGGTAGATACACTGTGCCTCCTCACACAACCAAAAGGAGAACAACAAAATTTAAAAACAAAAAAACCCAGAACTGCCAGAAAAAATCAATCTGTATAGAAGTCTGACAACCAAGGAGTTAAAGAAGAAACATTCATCCAGATTGGTAGGAGGGGCAGAGACGGGCAGCCAGGTGGAGAAGACTTGTAGCAAGGTGGTGGCTGGAGGACTGGGATGGGTGAGGTGGTGGCTGGAGAACCAGTGGTCCCACATTTGCATGCAGGTAAACCAGGAGGAACAACTGGGGAGTGAGACACACTGCACAACCCAGGGTTCCAGCTCAGGAAAATAAAGTCTCAAAACCTGTGACTCAAAATACCTGTGGGGGTTGATGCAGCAAGAGAAACTCCCAGCCTCACAGGGGAGTTCCCTGGAGAGACCCACAGGGTCCTAGAATGTACACAAACCCACCCACACAGGAATTAGCAACAGAAGAACCCAATTTGCTTGTGGGTAGCGGAGAAAGTGACTGAAAGCCTACTGAGAGCCAAGCAAGCAGCACTGTTCCCTTTTGGGCCCCTCCCCTGCAAAGAGTGCCACAGTGCAGCCATGTGGGTTACCCTGCCCTGGGAAATACTGAAGGATCAGCCCCTTACTACATAGGTGCACCCAAACAAAAAAATATGGCCCAAATGAAAGAACGGATCAAACCTCCCCAAAAAATACAACTAAGCAATGAAGAGATAGCCAACCTATCAGATGCAGAGTTCAAAACACTGGTAATCAGGATGCTCACAGAAATGGTTGAGTATAGTAGCAAAATCGAGGAAAAAATGAAGGCTATGAAAAGTGAAATGAAAAATGTACAGAACCAACAGTGATGGGAAGGAAACTGGGACTCAAATCAACATTTTGGAGCAGTAGGAAGAAATAAACATTTAACCAGAACAGAATGAAGAATTCTTTTGAAGAATTCAAAAAAAAAATGAGGATAGGCTTAGGAACATCGAGGACAACTTTAAATGTTCCAACATCTGAATCATAGGGGTGCCAGAAGGAGAAGAAGAAGAGCAAGAAATTGAAAACTTATTTGAAAAGACAATAAAGGAGAACTTCCCCAATCTGGTGAAGAAAATAGTCTTCCAGGAAGTCAAGGAAGCTCAGAGAGTCCCAAATAATTTGGACCCAAGGAAGCACATGCCAAGGAACAACATAACTAAGTTACCCAAGATTAAAGATGAGAAAATCTTAAAATCAGCAAGAGAAAAGAAGACAGTTACCTACAAAGGAGCTCCCATAAAACTACCAGCTGATTTCTCAAAAGAAACCTTGCAGGCCAGAAGAGACTGGAAAGCAATATCCCAAGTCATAAAAGGCAAGGACCTACTTCCAAGATTACTCTATCCAGCAAAGCTATCATTTAGAATGGAAGGGCAGAGAAACTGCTTCCCAGATAAGGTCAAGCTAAAGGCATTCATCATCACCAAGCCCTTACTATATGAAATGTTAAACGGACTTATCCAAGAAAAAAGATGATCAAAGATATGAACAGTAAAATGACAATAAAATCACAATTATCAACAACTGAACCTAAGAAAAACAAAAACAAACAAGCAAACAACTAGAACAGGAACAGAACCACAGAAATGAGATCACATGGTGGGTTATCAATGGAGAGGGCGAGGTGCAAGAATGGGGGAAAATTACAGGAAATAAGAAGCATAAATAGTAAGTACAAAATAGACAGGGGGAGTTAAGAGTAGTATAGGAAATGTAGAAGCCAAGGAAATATATTTATGACTCATGGACATGAACTAAGGGGCGGGAGGGATGCTGGTGGGAGGGGGTGGTGCAGGGTAGAGTAGAATAAAGAAGGGGAAAATGGGACAACTGTGATAGCATAATCAATAAAATATAATTAAAAATAAAACAATTAGGAAAAAAGTCTGATTTTTTTCCCTTCAAATAGCTTTAGTAATATAGGAGGCAGGGGAATATAGATTGAATCTTTGGGTCTGAAGAAGATTGGAGTTTAAATCTTAACATATTCTACCTTATACTTAGTTGTGGGATCTTGTATGTTATTTAACTTTTTCCAACTTCAGTTTTCTCCTCTTTAAAATATGGGAGATCATAGTACCTACCTCATATAATTGTGAGGGATAAATCAGATAGCTCCTGAAATGCAGGGCAGGGTGGATCTCTAAAACTGTCCTGCTGGGAGTGTGGCCCACAGACCCAGGCCAATCCCTAACTGCATGTTTTCTGAGGAGATAAAGAAAGCAACTGAGAGCAGGTAGAAACTTTCACAGCAATTTGACATTGCTGTGGGGCACAAACATAGGATCAGTGGGCCTGTAGTTTGTGTGTCTTTACTTTTCTCTTTCTCTAGTAATTCATTCTTATTTTATTTTACAGAAGGTCTCTGACACACTGGAAATAAACTTTTAAGAGGTTATCTCTATAGGACTTCGGCCAAGATGGAGGCATAGGTGGAGACGCTGTGCTTTCTCACACAACCAAGTTTAGAGACAACTAAATATTAGCAATAGAAAACACAGCCAGAACACAGAAAATTGAACTTTTCCAAAGTCTGTTAACAACAAATTCTTCAGCCTGACCGGTAAGGGGCGAAACCAGCAGCTGGTGGAGCGGGGTAGCACAGGAAGATGGACTCAGGTGCGTGGAATCCAGGTGCAGGGTTGGACCTAGTGAGAGACCCAGTGAGCGACCTCGGGGAAACAGCGAGGGAGCAGGGCTGCCGGTTGACTGTGGTCGCGCATTCGTGCGCGGACAGACAAGGGAGGGAGTGGGCAATTGGACGGGACCCAGCAGGTCCTTACGGTGAGTGGCAGCGGAGGGCGCTGCCATTTCCCCGCTCTCATCCTGCCTCCACATACAGCGTCATAACCCAGCGACTCTGAGTGGCCCGGCCACGGTGAACCACCTAAGGCTCTGCTCCTCACCCAGCAGCGCAAAACAGCAGAGGGGGCCGCCAATTCCTAGCTCTGACCACGCCCCCACATACAGCGTCACAACCCAGCGACCTGGAAGTCCAAGGCTCCGCTCCTCATACTTAACTGGCTCGAACAGACCAAAAATGGCTCAAGAAGATCTCAAAGCCCCAGAGCCTATAAATCTAAGCGATGAAGAAATAGCAAAACTCTCAGACACACAGTTTAAAACACTGGCGATCAGGGTCCTCACAGAACTGGTTGATTATAGCCATAAATTAGAGAAACATATGAAGGCGAAACTAATTGAAATGAATGGAATTGCACAGGAAACCAATAGCGATGAAAAGGAAACTGGGACTCAAATCAATGGAGTGGACCAGAAGAAAGCAAATAATGGCCAAACAGAAAAGAGTGAAGAAGCAAGAATTCAAAGAAATGAGGAGAGTCTTAGAAACCTCCAGGACATCTTTAAACGCTCCAACATCCAAATTATAGGGGTACCAGAAGGGGGAAAGGAACAGCCACCAGTGGAAAACTTATTTGAACAAATAATAAAGGAGAATTTCCCCAATCTGGCAAAGGAAATAGACTTCCAGGAAATCCAGGAAGCTCAGTCCCAAAGAAGTTGGACCCAAGAAGAAACACACCAAGGCACATCATAATTACATTAGCCAAGATTAAAATGAAGGAGAGAATCCTAGGAGCAGCAAGAGCTAAGGGGACAGTCACCTACAAAGAAGTTCCCATCAGACTGTCAGCTGATTTCTCAAAAGAGACCTTACAGGCAAGAAGGGGCTGGAAAGAGGTATTCCAAGTCATGAAATCCAAAGACCTACAACCAAGATTGCTCTATCCAGCAAAACTTTCATTTAGAATGGAAGGGCAGATAAAGTGCTTCTCAGATAAGATCAAATGCAAGGAGTTCATCATCACCAAGCCCTTATTATATGAAATGTTAAAGGGACTTACCTAAGAAAAAGAAGATAAAAAAGCTGAACAGTGAAAGGACAGCAAACTCACAGTTATTAACAACCACACCTAAAACAAAAGCAAACTAAGAGGACAGCTAGATCAGGAGTGGAAACATAGAAATGAAGATCACGTGGAGGGTTAGCAACAGGGGAGTGGGAGAAGGAGAAGGGGGGAGAAGGTACAGAAAATAAGTAGCATAGACGGTAGATAGAAAATAGATGGGGGGGCAAGAATAGCATGGGAAATATAGAATCTAAAGAACTTGAGACACATGGTCATAAAATAAAGGGGGGGTAATGGTGGGGATGGGGGTAGGGTGGAGGGGAATGAAGGGGGGAATAGAACAACTGTAATGGCATAATCAATAAAAAAATAAATAAAAAAAGAATGTCCTAGAACATAAAAAATAATTAATTAAAGAAAAAATAAAAGGTTATCTCTACAACTGAAAATTGGTCTAAAGTGTAGTCTTGGGATTAGGCCCAGGTGTTTCACTCAGCTGGTTTCCTATAATGTCAGTAGCATCTGCTTAACCTCCTAGAAACTGAAATCTATGCACCAATACCTGATAGCCTGTATTTGTGTATATCAGGCACCACTTGGAAGGGTCTTAATCTTGCTTAAGGATCTTGTTTTTACTGTTGCTCCCATTTCCTTGTTTAGACTTGGCTTAGTATGATAGGTGTTGGGGATCAGAGTCAAATATTAACATTTCATTAATATCATGCAGCAATCAAAAAGCATTTTAATAAATATTTATTGGGGACTAATACAAGTGACAAAGGAGCCTAAAAATTCTACATATTATGTCTCTTCATTATTGTTTAAGAAACCAGGATGGAGTAAGCCACTCACATATCCAAAGGGCTTTCTAGGCAGAACAAGTGTGAAGGCAATGAAACAGGAAGCTGGAACAGGAAGAAGGCCCGTGTGGCTTAGACTGCTGGAGAGAAGAGTGGTAAAGGGATAACAGCACAGATGTAGTGGGATAACAGATTGCACTGTGCCTTCTGCCGTAAAAAGTTAGAATTCTATTTTAAGTGTGACAGAAAACAATTGATGGGGGGTTAGACCAGAGGAGTAATACCTGGCTGGTGTTCAAGTTATCACTCTGAAAGGAGGCAAAAGAAAACAAAATAAAGCTAAACTATTACTATGGCTCAGCCATGAATAATTATACAACACCAAAATGTATGATACACCATAATTACATACTCTATGATAGCACCCATGATAATATGAATTTGGATGTGACATGATTGGTCACTGGCTCCTGTCTCCAAAGCACACTTACCCTGGATATTTATTATTTTAGAATCATTCAACCTTACACTGTATGAAGTTAAATTTTTGGAATCTATTTGGTGTTATGACAGGATTTTTTTTTCTTAAACTAGGAAGAGGAGGGTGGAGGATGAGTGTGTGTACATATGTGTGTGTACTCATATGTGTGTTGTAGTAGTTTGGTGTGAGGGCTAAATTCTCACTTTATATTGTAGAAAGTTACCAGAAATTGGTAAATCTAAGATAAATCCAGAGTAAGTAGAATAGCATGTTATTTAAAATATGGAGGTATAAGCCAAAAGAAGTACAAGGAAGAAGTACATGTACAAGGAAGAAGATAAAACAGAGTAGTGGGATAAAGAATGACAGGAGTATTTCAGCACAAGTAGTCAGGGAAAGGACTGTCTAATGAGGAGACTACTTTGCATGATGCAAACAGGCAATGACCAGCAAGTGGTTGAAAGAAAACTGTCTTCGGAGCTTAGAGAAAAGGCAGAGGAGCAGATCAAAAATGTAGGCAGGAGCCAGGCTGTAACTGTATGGGAAATTCATTGGCATGGTTTGGGTGGTAGGCTGGAGCTGGCTCATACTGGCTCAGTAAAACCAAATTTTAAAATATTAAAATCCTTATAAATTTATTTTCAATATTTTACTGAGCTGGTTTTTAAACAGTCATTGGTAAAAATTAAATAATTTAAACTTACAATTAAATAAAATAAAGGGAATAAATACTGAAAACTCATCACTACTTTACTTAAAGGGGATCAGAACATTCCACACCCAAATTTGCCATGTTGACATACAAATTATTTTGAGCTGAAGACAACTGAGAAACAGCAGATTTAGGAAAAGCTCTTTACCTTGCATCTAGCTGCCCAAAACAAGGAGGTAATTTATTGGGAACCACACTATCTGGTTTCAGAAGCTGTAACCCGCATGGCTAAGGGTGAGTAAAAAACCTTGGGACCATAAGCCGCTAAGGAGACAAAGCTTATTTTCCTGGCAGGGGCACTGCCTCTGATCCCTTTTACTTTACTCTGCTTGGCCCTGGGCAGATGACTAGTTAGCCAATGACATGTAAGATTCCTCAAGGGAGAGATGATCTAAGACAGGCATGGTCACAAAGGGGCCCTCAAGGAAGGATTTGGGGGGCTATAGAAAAAGGGGGTGATTGACCCTTGCCCCTCAGTTTTAAAATAGCTTGAGTCCTCATTCTTCCTGTAAGAAGTCTTCTAATCTCTTGGCTGCCTTACTTCCCCTGCCTGACTTAAGCCTGAAACAATGCCAGAGGGTGGTGCAGTTCTAAGCAGGAACAGGTGGTTCCCTAGGGCAATCAGGCCTAGGAAAGAATACATAAAATCCTGTGAAACCTGCTTTGCTAAGAATGTCCTCAATTTTCTGGTAAGAGTCCAACCATGAAATGAGTTTGTTTCCCAAAGTTTTATGGTCCTTTAGCTAACAGACCCTGACTCAGAATAAGCCCTCATTGTTCTTTGTATGTTATCTATTGTTTGAGCATTACTCCCTGAGCATAATGAATGAGGACCTACTTTGATATAATGTTCCCAGAAAGCAATAAAAGCCTATCCAGGCACCGGTCGGGGCATTCTCTCTTTCAGAGAGTGGCCATGTTGTCCCTTTTCTCACAGGACTTCTGCAGTCCATGAGAATTTGTTTATCGCATCCATGACACTGTGGACATCGCTGGCTGGGGTCCACATTGGTAATTTTCCTTTGTGAAGGTCATCCCCCTTTCCTTTCCCACACCAGGAGGAGGAAAATGACTTACCACTGGCACTGAGGTGGGTCTGCACAAACCAACCTTACTTTCCTAGCCCTTATCTTCCAGCTGTTTACTCCCAAACCTCTCTTCCTGTGTCTGCTCACTTCACAAACTTATCTCCACTTATTAAAATGGTACACAATACTCACAGCCTCTTCGGGTTTCCATTTCCTTTTCTGTGTGTGTGTAAAATTAAAATATTAACATCAAATAAAATTCTTATACCTTTTGTACCGTTAACCTGTCTGTCAGTTTAATTAGGTTCAATCCCAGAACCTAAGAGAGTAAAGTTTTTTCCTCCCCTTCACTGTAATTTACTTCTACTTATTTTCTTGAGGTTGTTTATGTTATCACAGGGTGTCTCAACAGTGGCACTGATAGTTTGAGCTGGATTCTTTGTTGTGGGTTTTCCTGTGCATGGTATGAAGTTCAGCAGAATCTCTGATCTCTACCCAACAGATGCCAATAGCACAGTTGTGACAACCAACCAAAATTTCTCCAGACACTGTCAAATGTCCTCTGGGGAGCAGAATCAACCACAGTTGAGAACCACCAGTCTCTGCACGGTGGAAACACTATCTGACACTGCACTACTGTGCGTCTCTTCCCAATTACTCAGGCCATGGTTGTAGCTTGGAATTGGCCAGGGTGGGGAAATTTATATCACAGGAATCTGGAAATACCACAAATCAGGGCTTGATTTATTGTTTTGTTGGTTGTCTAGATTTAAGAAAGTAGTGGTGAAAATGTTAATGCACACTAGCATGCATGTCATTATGGTATGAATAGCTCAAAATATTGATGGAGTATCTTCCAGTATTCAAAGTTATCCGAGTCAGAAATTAGTCACTCACATTACTGAGAAATAATTAAGTTCCACATATTTCAAGAAAGAACATGCTCAGTTGGGTCAAATGCTGCTGGAAGATCAGGTGGATTGAGAATAAGTTAGGTTTGGCCAGATAAAATTGATGGTGACCTTGACAAGTCTCAGTGGAGGAGCAAGGAAGAAAACCTGGGAAGGTGAGGGAGTGGGAAAGTTAAAAAAGTTGAGCATAGTAACAATCCCTTGGACCTCTGTTAGGGAGCGGAGATATGGGGTGGTCACTAGATAGTGGGAATGGATTCAAGCAATTGGTTTTTTTAATATGGGAGATATTAACACATGTTAAAGTGTTTTGGGGTATAATCCAGTAGTGGGGGAGAAATTAAAAAAGAGAGAACTTGAAGGGTAAAAGTTTTTTGAGTAGGTTTAAGAGGACAAGGTCCATGGATGAAAAGGGAGTTAAGGACAGTTTGGAGCCTTAGATTAAAAATAATACTGATGTCATATGGTTAATAAGAGGTTCCCAATAAATTAATCAATGTGAGAACACTTCAAAAATCCTAAGGTACTAAAAACTGGTGTCAAACCACTCACTGTTCAGGTAATAAAAGATTATACTTGCAGTTTTTGAGATAAGAGTTTTGTCTATCCCAAATCAATAACTTACATAGATAAGTTATAACTTCGCTTACGAGAAAAAGCCTAGAAGATAAATCTTTAGATTTTCCATTCCACTTACTTCTTAAGTTGGAAAATAGTATTAAAATTAATATACTTCCCATTTCGTTTCTCCTACTGTTTTATTGAATAAGGAGTTGTTTTATAATTTTTTTCGGTTTTGTAGCTTTGCTTTTCCTTTTTTTCCTGTTATTTATTTTTTACTAATAGCAGATAAAGGAAAACAACTACTAAACCTACTCCTTAAAAACGCCTTTCCCTTTTCCATCTCTAAATAACTACACGGGAAAACGAAAACCATTTCATGAGTGGAACAGAAAAAGAGTCTGGAAAATACGTGAGGTGGGTTCACAAGTACTTTCCCCTCGGCCTGAAGGTGGACGCAGTAGTACCTTCCCGGAGGTGGGAGAGTGAGGCGCCGTGCGCGGGCAGAGGGGCAGGGAGCGCTTCCCAACCCCAGCGACGCCCGTTCACCCAGGGCGAGGTGAAGCGCAGGTGAAGGGGTCAATCCCGGACAAGAACGCAGGGGAGGCTGCGGCCTCGTGGGTGCTGCGGAGAAACGAAACGTCCTTAAGGGGGCGTATAGGTGCAGACCGCAGCGCACAGGCCCTGAAACAGAGTAGGCTGAGACCCGCATCCCAAAATACTAGTGGTACGCGCTGATGAGGAGGGGCCGCCATTCCCTTCACCCGCCAATAGCCGCTTGCCTGGGTTCGATTCCGTACTCCGTAAAAAGGAAAAAACAACCCCCCCTCCAAAAAAAAAACCAAACACCACCAGGCTGGCGGAAATGACGTCTACTTGTTCCGTTTGTTCTTCCGGGTCTGACCCTCTTAGCCCCGCCTCCCAGCCCCGCCCCTCGTCTCTGACGTTTTCTTCACTCGAGTGCGGTCGCTGTGATTTGTTAGAGCCCATCAGGGAAAGGTTTTTAGAAGGGAAACTGAAGTGATTTTTTGCAAGATAGGACTCAGTATATTATAAATTCCGGTCACTTCAACCAGGATTTTAAAGATGTTGATGAAGTACAGTGAAATGTTTTCTATTCATTTGTAGATAAAGCCGATCTTACCAGTAATTTGACAGGTCTTGCTCAGAATCCAAGAATAAAGTCACCCAAACGTGACTGCAGTCCAATGCTTCTTCTAAACTGAAGCTCTTTAGCCGGTTAACCCTAAACCAATTTTTAAGTGAAAATAGGAGGCGTCTTAATATCCAGATAACCTTAAATTACGCAACTACTGCAGATCTAAAGCAAGTTTGATTCTCTGGAAATCTAAATATCTCACACTTTGGCAATGCTTTAGTTTGTCATGGATTACCTCAATGTCGGATAATCTTGTTCAGAAACCTCCCAGCTCTGTTTCCTTCCTCTGCTCATGCATGTAATACAATTTGTCTGGAAGAAAGATGAAGGTCTACAGTATAAAAAAACACTAGAAGAAAAACATTTGTTTTGAAGAAATTCCCTGTAAGCTAATTCAGTAATTGATGAGCTTCCAGAGTTCTTTAAAATCATTATCAATCATAATAAGCGGGAGGGATGAGCTTTAGTTCTTTTTCATGTAGTTACTTTGATGTATAAATATACAATACCTGTGAATAATAAACTGTAAAAGTATAATCATGGAAACATTATGTACACTTGTACTTAATATTTTAATTTAGTAGAAACTAGACCTAAAATTTTTAATTCAAAACTACAAAACTGCGCAACATTGTTAAATTACTTATGTCACTGAATTGTACTCTTAAATATGGTTAAAACATAAACATATGTGTATTTCACCAAAATTTAAATAATTAAAATTACGAAACTACAAAACCATGCCAGTAAGTAATTCAGAAAAAATTACTTTTTAAACGCAGAAAATGAAATAGAAAAATACATTTAAGGGACACTACCTTGTTTATATATTACTTTTAAAGTAAATCCTACATATTTTTAGTGACATGCCTATTTGAATTACTAAAAAAGTAATTATAATGGTTACTATTCAAACATGTATTATTTTGCCTCTAATCTGATCCTGAAGAATTCAGTAATTTCTAAGCAATAAGTTCAGACCTCTTTTTATTGCTTTACTACATGTAAACATTCTTCAGTTCTTCTAAAAGATAATATTTATTTAAAGTAGCCACAAAGGATCATTAGTACTCAAGCCATCAGGTTTTCTAAATAAGCATTTTATATACACCTGCTTAAATCTAGGAACACCTTACTAGGAAATTCGACTCAGAGAAAGTTCTTGGTGGTTTTATAGAAATCTGTCCTTCCTTCCTGCCTTCTCTCTCTTCTGCACATCCTTAATCTACTTCTCTTTTTCCCTCTCTTTTATTTTTTCTTAGTATACAACATGTAGCATTATATTTATAAGATTGTTTTTCTTACTTTCCAGTTAGAAGGCAAAGACAAGAGATGAGGAGACAAATGAATTAGTAAGTGAGAAGAGGAAATATTTCATGCAGAGGTAGAAGAACCACAGCTCCATACCATTTCTCTCCTCTACTGCTTTGGTGCAGGAACAAGCCCCAACAATGGACAAAACTGCCCTTGGATGCGAGCATGTGATCTTTTCGTCAGTTTCTCATGCCGTAGAAAAACACTGTCGTACATGAGTAATGGGTGCGGGTCAAATGTGCAAGTCTTGCAGTGGCATGGAGGAATCTGGAAGGACCTCCAAGGATATATCAGTATTCATGTTATGAGGGTTAGCAGTTTGAAGAGCTAATGCTTTGCACAGAAGTATGTCTTCCTCACCCCCATGAAAGGATTGCCCTTTCTTAAAAGGGGCTTATCAACTAACAATGTTGGTAGCAAAGAATGAGTGAACAAAAACCAAGATGAGGGCTCAGAGGATTTAGCTATGTAAATCTATATTGTATCTTACACTTAACATACATTCTACAGTTATTCAGAGGGAACAGAATACAAACCTTCATTGTGGTAACCAGAACAGAAGGTCGTCCTAATATTCTCCCCCTTTAGAAGTCTGTATGTCATGCCATAAAGGTGTTTCAAAATGGGAATCACTTTGATTTCAAATAAGAACATGGGGAGGAAGACAAGCAATTTTCCATGGAGGACTCATTTAGTTCCCACCCAGGTGGCAGGTCCCTGTTTCATATGTGCAGTGCTAGTGGTACTAGTGACACTGGTGGTGACAGGGGGTTCTTGTTACTCTTTGGGGAAGAGAAAGTTAAGGGGGTAGGGTGTAAAGGGGTAACAGCCTTCATTTTTCTTTAGCTGATTCATTGTCACTTGAAGTATGGTACTCCTTGCTGTTCAGTAATTTACATTACAGTTATGTATAATAACCACTAGAAATCGTAATCAGAAGCGTATTCTGTCCTATTTATAAATATCCTCTTACCTCATGCTCTGAACTAAATTAGATGGGGTTTGATTAATGCATATCTTAACTGTAAGGCTCAGTTATTTGTCCCAAACCTTCTGGAGGAAGGCTAATCTAGCTACCTAATTCCCTTGCATCACGCTTCACGATAAAGGTTGTTGAGAGTTCCGAGGCCCTCAGAGGTGTGATATTATGAATATATCTGGTCTTTATCTCTGGTTCCTCATATACAGCTTCAAAAACCCTTAGAATTTCTTGACTTATGAAAGTTTCTTAAAGGGAACGAGATACTCATGGCAGGCCCCTAGATAGCCTCAGAATGGGAATTGGCCACCAGAAGCCCCAAGCACATGATTAGAGGTTGGGGCTTTCAGCTGTCCAAACTCCTGGCAGAGCAAAATGGCTGGAGACTGAGTTCAATCACATGGCCAATGATTAAATCAATAATGCCTGCATAATAAGATCCAAAAAACGCTCTGGAAACTAAAGCTCAGTGAAGCTTCCTGATTGGGGAACACACTGATGTTCAGGGATGGTGACATGCCTCAACTCCCCAGACCTTGCCCTGTGTGTGTCCTTTAAAAATAAAACTGTAATAATTAAGTATGGCATTTCCCTGGGTTCTGTGCATTGTTCTAATGGATTATCAAACCTGAGAAAGGGTCACAGGAACCCCTGAATTTGTAGCCAGTGGGGCAGAACTGTGGGTGGGCTGGGGACCTCACTTGTAGCTGGTGTCTCTAAGGACAATTGTATGGAACACTGATCCCTGAAACCTGGAGAAATCTGACACTAGATCCAGGTGCTTAACATCAAAATTGTATTGAAGTATACCCAACTGGGGGTGAAACAGAACAGGTAGCTCACAAAAATACTCCTTTTTTTTCCTAGTTGTCTTCACCTTCTCACCTAACTTCTGGCTGTCCTATATCCCTCTACCTATCCCTCTCCACCTGCCTGGATTTGTTTTTTTCCTGTAGAATAAACAAATCCCAGTCTCTTACTGCCCTTGTGTCTAAGAAATGTTGCAGTGTTGATTACCAGAGTGAAGTTTAGTGGTTTCCCTTCCCACACAGCTCTACAGAGAGAACTTGGCTTAGAAAAGACAACTTTGGTCTGGTATCCGGAAGATTCAGCAGTGGTGAATTTTCAGCAGCCGTGGTTGGGAAAGGGAAAATTGTGATTCTGTGCATAAAAAGGGGATTTTTACTCTAGCAATTTTGTCCTCAACTGCTTGAAGTCAAACATGCCTCACCACCACAAGGATGAGTTCCTTTCCCCACAAACAAGAAATTTATATTTCTTCTACCTTGGCCTTATTATGACAGGGGAGCATTTTACTCTCTCTCTCTGCCTGTTATGGATAGAATGTTTGTACTGAACCTCCCCTAACTAATGTATTAAAACTTCTAATCCTTAATATGATGGTATTTGAAGACAGGGCCCTTGGAGGTAATTAGGTTGTAAGGGTGGCATCCTCATGATGATTTAAGGCCCTTATCAGAAGAGACAAGCTTGCTTCTCTCTCTGCCATGTGAGAATACGAAGGGAAGGTGTCAGTCTGCAAACCAGAAAGTAGGCTTTCATCAGACACTGGATCTATCTGTGCTCTGATCTTAGATTTTCAGCCTCCAGAACTGTGAAAAATAAATACTTGCTGTTTAAGCTACCCAGTCTATGGTATGTCTGTCTAGTGGCAACCTGAATAAGATACTGCACAAATTGTATTTTCACTTGAACAAACAAAAAGTAATGGTGTCAAGTCAAAATATCTTTCCCTCTAATGTTAGATTTCTACTCATTAAGGATTGAGTGGTGGTGATAGAAATTTGGGTTCATTTATTCATGAAGACCTAAGGGAGTTAAAATTAGACCAACCCAGTTACAAAAACACCAGGGCTATAGGTGGCTACAATCTCTTTAAACATAAAATAAAATTTACCTTTTTCAAAATGTTATTTTAAAACTTTACTTTATTTAAAAAGTGTAATAATACATTCCATGATATAAAATTCTAGACCTAGTAGACTTAAAAACAGCATAATAAAAAATACAAATATTCATTTTGTTTTCTTCTGTGTGTCTTGTGTATTTATTATCTTCCACTAGGTTTGCATTTCTTTGTTTTATAATCTGATTCACATTTATAGTAAAACACATTTTAAATATCATAGACAGGTATAACACATAAAGTATAAATTCCCTTTCTCCAGCCCCTCCTCAGATATTCATGAATATCCTTTCAAA